AAAGAACGACAACATCACAGAACGTAAGTTTGGATAACATCATAGAAAGCTCACGGCTCTCCAACGGGAGATTGAGAGACCAGTGTTGGACTGTTAGAACAGCTTTGAAATTCATGAGTTGTTCGCACTAAAGTAAAAAGCACCATCACTTCATGCGGATACCCTCCTTCCTTTCCTTCGGGGTCAACCTTCAGGATCAATAAAGTTTTATTGAATTGAATATTATATGATTTTTTCTAATCCACAAAGACTGTGCAGCTCCTTCTGGCCTTCTCTATGTCTCCATCATTACATCTCTTTGTGCTCTTTGCATGATGCCATCTTCCTCTTGACAAAGCAGCATATAAAATAAAACCATGATCTATTTTAAGGGAAATTATTTCCTTTTATAAAGAAGCAAACTTTTAAGGAGAAAAGACATTCTTAATGTCTTAATTTCTTTTAAAGCGTTTTAAAAGCAGTTGAATGAGTTCGGATGAAAAAAGAAAAGGGTCCATGTGGGCGTGGTCTTGGTTTTGTTGACAGGTGCAACGAGCCTAATTAGCTACGGTGCCGAATGTGGCAGTTGCTATAAACAGTTAGCCATTGAACTATTTTAATAATGATATAATTAAGAAAAAGGATTTATCAGGAAACGTGTGTGCCGCAAGAAGAGCCTAGCGGGAGGTGAGTTTGAATTAATTTTCGTCACTTGTTTCCTTCTCTACCATGCTTTTAACTTTAAATGACCACACCAGGTGGGATACAGAGAGGCGCCGTATTGTTGCATACTGGAATAAATTAACAGACTTGTTAAGTACTCGTTTTAGTTGTTTGTAAGCCAAACCTGCTAAGCTAGCGCTAATGGCGGTGTCCTACCCGTATTATAGTTTGACGGTGACTTGCGACTAAACCTAACCATAACCATAAAGAATGGGTGAGAGAAAAAGAAGTTAATTTGGCGTTGGTGTTGTGCGCATGCGCAGAAACATTGGGTAGGATGTTTTTCCAGGTAGGATGGATTCCCAGAACACCTGTCTTCTAGGTCTGGTTAAACGTATATATCACGGTGTTTTTTTTACAATTGGAGGACAATTTAAGCTTAAAAATATTGAAAATTATATTAAATGTCACTTAATGTTATAACCCTGTTATGTATAAATCAAATAATTAAGCAACGAATTACATTTGTTGAGCTCAGGCATCAAAGGTACATTTTTTATTTCAAAATGTCAGTGATAATATTAGTGTTTTCTCAAATAGATGCGAGTTGTGGGATCTCATAGACTGTGAAACTTGGAGGACACAACTTGTTGTGCTTTTAAAATATGTTTTAAAAACAATAATGGTTGACTGTGTGAGACGTCTCAACAAAATTAAAACAAAGGGCGGTATATAACTTATCCTAACTGGTATGTTTGACTTGTAGTTTGCAGGAAAAAGGGAAGGAAGAGTGTATTTGTGCAGCATGTGTGTTCTCTAGCTTCCACTAGAGGTCACTGATTACTAATTTGTAGTTCACCTAATCAGGCTAAAAGGTTTCTGTGATAAAGGGTTGGTCAGATTTTTGAGTAATCAGTAATCAGATTACTAGTTTACTCGCATCTATTTGATGTTTTGAGAAAACACTAATATTATCACTGACATTTTGAAATAAAAGTGTACCTTTGATGCCTGAGCTCAACAAATGTAATTCTTTGTTTAATTGGTACCCAATCTCGGGTGGGGGTGATGATCTCTCCCCCTGACCTGGCGTCCTGGCTCCCCCTGTTTTGTACCTCGTCAGTCTCTAGCCGTGGGAGCAGTCCCTTCTTCCAAACGAACACTGAGAGCTATTAGTTGTTTTGCCATCAACTGTGGATGTTGGGTATTGAAGATTTCATAGGTCTAAGGTTATAAGATTCCCTTACTGTATATAGAATGGGTGGGAATCGAACTTGCAACTCCTGCTCCAAAGGAGCGTGGTCTTACTACTACGCTATCTATTTGTAGATATATGGAGCATAGAACTACTTTTATGGGAACTACAGCCTGCAATTGGAGAACATCACACATAATGTTGATGAAGAAAAATTATTAGAGACAAGTGACATTATGTCTATGCATCTGTTTACACTATAAATCATATTTGCGTGATAATAAGACAAATTAAATACTTATTACTTAAAGTAATTAAAAAAATTAGCATAGATTTGATGAAAAATGGCTAGAGCTGGTTAAATTCTAATTTAACCTAGTACAAAACCAGTCTGTAACCTGGATGGGTTTTAATGCTAAAAGTGGTAAATCAGTCATCTTAAGGATTTGTTTGTTTAAAATGGACATAAGTTATTTAATATTCAGGGCAAGTTTGCAGGGGACATCCTGGTCCCAGTATATTTCATTTAAAAAATAAAACAGTCGGGAGAAGTGGTGTGGCAAGCTTGTAAATTTTATTTTCATGTGTAAATGTTTGTTACTGATTGTATTTTCTCATTTTCGTCAATGAAGGAACAACTGAAAAAGCATTCACAAAGTAAGAAAACAGTTACAGATACATACGATATATTAATGTGTTAAAACGCGTCACGTGTAGGTCGACTGGAGGAAATGGGAGGGAGCGTCTGATACCGCATCCCTCCTGAAATCTCGACTGAAGGAATTTATAGCAAAATCCCATCTCAAGGATGTCCTGAGGTTTTCTTCTTGACTTCAGACTGTTTGTAGTTAAAGGAAAAACATAATTTCTGTCTTTTAAACTAACTTCTGGACAACTTTTATTTAAATCACTTTAAATAATCAGTTAGTAAAAATGTGTCTAATCTCTAAAGTATCTCCAGGAGGACCTAGGAGACGTCTTTGAAGAGGAGTTTTGCTCTGAATTCCTGGTGTGTAAAACAACCATGCACGTCAGATGGGTAAGTGTGAGATGAAGCATACTGTACACCGACAGAATACATTTACATTTGTGAATTTTACCACTCTGCTACAGGCACAATGAAAAACAAGTCGACAGAAATAAAAGCCCTTCAGATATTGACGGTGGATCGCTTTTCTTCACTTTTTTGATGACGATAAAAACTGGAATGTTTTCAGATGATACATCTGTCATTGGCTTTTCAATCCCTGCTAGTTTCACAGACTTATTGATACGTTGGATTTCAGCAGTGCCGGCGTGACGCAGAGGTAAAAACACACTGTCCAACCCCGGAAACATCGTACCTCAAATGTTCACTCGGGATCAAACCCACAATGCTTTTTGTGTTAAAGAGAACACAAACATATTATTGCTGCTTCTTCATGGCACAAATAATGGAAACAATGTGACTTTTTTTCATATGATTATGTTCTTGTTTGCCATGCAAGCTCACTACAGTACAGCTTCTATATTAGCTTATATTACACAGAGCAACAAAGTAATTCAGAAAACAGAGCAGGTTCGTGTGCGTCTCGCCACAGTGCCAGACTAACGTCTACAGCTGGTTTTACAGTTAGTGAGTACATACAAAAGGATTATTATTGTCGTTACCACACAAAATAATGGTTATGATACTACAAGCAGTATTCATAATATTAATAATAATAATAAAAAACACATTCTCAGGGCATCACAAACAATAATAAACCAAAGGGGGCCAAACTTAATGTTTGAAATAATTTAAACATTTCTTTTGACATTCATTCCTTCGGGTATTTCTTTTTCTTTTTTATTAAATGTACAGTATAATTTCTGTATAGAAGTAGTGCTTCATTTCTAGAAATACAAATGGAAAAAAAATTATAAAACACAAAGGGCTGCATTCTGTGAATGCTGTGCAAATAACATCTTTTTACATCAAACTTTTTAACTTCAACTGTCCCAACTTCTCACACTTCTAATAATCTTCACACAACACAAAAGGTTCACCTCATTCATAGCTTTGAATGCCCACCGACAGACAGACTGCAGCCACCTCTGAACCAGGCAGAGAAGTGTGCGTCAGCTTTGTCCTGTGCGCCTAAAACATGCAAGTGCAGATTGAAGAAAAACGACAAACAGCTGACTGACGAGCTCGCAGCTTAAAACCAAAATTCAGTGACTGTCGGAAACTTTTGTCCCACACTTTAAAGCACGCTGTGACGCCTCGACTCTTACTGGAAACAATAAAAGAAGAGCTCAAATCAGACTTTGTTCCCCTCACCTGCCCTACTTTGACCTGCCAGCAGGAAATCAAACTGCGGACCGGAGGTCAGAGGCACACCTAAAGACCGTTCACTCGTTAAAAACAACCTCAGCTCTCAGTATTGAGGACATCATGCTAACATACAAATGATCTGCTCAGCTTCAAATTTCAATTAAAACCTCCAGATTAGTCACAAGACTACTAATGCCCGCTGCCAACATGCTTTTGGATTCTCAGTTATCACCCATAACTCCTCAGGAACTACAACGTGGCAAACTGAACAGGAGACGGACGAAACACAAGGAGCCAAGTCACAGCTGTTTCCTGTGAGCATCTTCTGTTTAATGAGGCCCTGGGAGCTGTCGAAAGACTTAAAGCAGCTTTTCTTTTTTCCTTTTTGCAAGATGCTCCCACATCACTGTTTTTTGAAATGCAAACAAAAAGTAGAAGAAAACGCCTAAGAATAGAAAATAACGAAAAGAATTAATACTTTTGTTGGAATAAATCTTGCACGGTCTACATCATCTTTTTAAAACAAAGCGGCTTTGAAATCTTGTGGATGAATATTTAAAATCAGTCAGAAGGTGAGGCATCCAGGATGTAAGGATGTTAGACTATTATTATTAAAATGACAAGTGAAAGAGGTTGAAGCGCAGTGCGAGACGTTCCAGATGAATCCGAAGTGTGTTGAGTGAAGAGTGTCTAAAATGCCAGTCCTCGAGCTGTCCGATGAGATTCCTCAGAAACACAAAGATCGACGACAACAGTAATGTTCTTGAAATCAAAAAGTCAAAATGCTTTTGCCTTTTTCTTCCTGGTCAGAAAACCAGGAGGTGAGAGACGAGTGCAGAGTCTTGAGTCAAATTGGTGAGATGATGATGATGATGATGATGATACACACAGTGATTAGTTTCTCTTTGTCTTTTTTATTTAAACTGCTGTTTGTTTTCAGATGATATGCAGACTGAGGCAGCGGGGATGGATGATGGAAGTTGCTTTAAGTTTGACCAGCGGCCGTGCTGCATTCACATCAGGGGGAAAAAGTTGTAAGAACGCACATTTAAGTTTAAAATGCTCAACTAAAACCTAGGTTTCAGATATTTGGCAAAGCACCTCGGTTTGGCCACACATTAAATGACGGCTTTACTTTTCCAGTGTTCGTCCTCACACACTTGCAGGCATTTGGCAGATTGGATCACTAACAAGTTTAAAAAAAAACATTTGAGATGTCATTCCATTTTTTAATTTGAGGAAATGACACTTGAAGCCGCCCTAAAATATTCTTCTGTTTGATATGTGGCAGAGTCAGTCATGTGTTTCTCTTTGTGACCTCTGCTTTTTGAATATTTTGGGTGTTTCCGTACCATTTAAATTTTTGTGAGGCTATTTGTAGCTTAGCTACACCATATGTCGTATTTACGATTTCGGTGGTACTTTTATTTTTTTTACTTTTTAATAAAAGCAGTCAGCGCTGACTTAATTTCCCCATGATGTGGCTGCAGGGTACCAACAGGAGGTCATTTGTTGTGTGTTTGACTGTTGGCTGCAGTCTTTGTTAAACTCTCCAGGCGTGATGACAGGCTAGGCGTCCTGGGCGTAGCGTCGCTGCAGTGATGACAGCTGATGTGTGCGGGGATAGCGGATATTTGAGGAAGGGGTCTAGATGGATTTGGAGGAATCTTGCTTGCTGATGAGGACCTCCAGCAGGCGGAGTTTGGCCTTGATCCTCTTGTACTCTCTGTACGCCTCCAGCATCGGCACCCGGTCCTCCTTCTGAACATTTCTAAAAGGGGAACGAGAGCAGACAGAGTTGTGTTTTTATGTTTTTATTTTTCAGCTCTTAGTACTTTTGCAGCTTCCATCTGAAACGCAGACTTTTTATTAGTTGAATTTCCCTGCCGTTCAGTTTGCTGGTCGCGTTCAGCCATGTCGGACCTGTTAAGTTACTGCTGAGCATGGTGAACTTGATCCAGCTGCTCCTTCACTTCAGCTAATTTGTTTTGGCAGGAAATGCAGTGTGTTTATTGCCAAGCAGGTGGAGCTTCAATAAGGATATTTTTCTTGACTAAAAACCGATCTCGGAGAAACTTCTGCTCTTTCTAGTCAGTGGATCACTGTACCGACAGTGAGAGGATGTGACATCTCGAACATATCATGAAGGTAAAAAAACTTTTTTTGCCTTGCTATATGGTCCTCACACCCCGCCTGGCTTTCATTTTCACAGCTTGGTCAAATTTCCTGCCACACACAGGCTGAGACTGTTTTTTCGCTGATCTATCCAGACAGACAAAGCTCTAACACAAAGACTTGCCTGTCAGAAGGTGTGGTATTTATTTTTTCACAACAGAGAAGCTGTGAGAGACCAGAAAAGAGCGGCATGGAATACAGAAAAGGGAGTCGGTCACAAATGTATACATCCTACATAAAGGTTGTCCTGATTCACTGAATAAACAATCTCTGCTGAGTTTAAAAAGACAAAGCTGAAGTCATTGAACATATGTGATGTAGCTGGACTTCATTCCTTAAATAAACGTGTGTCCCACCTACCTTCCATTATGCTGATAGAAATCTTCTTCAAACTCTCTGATGGTCTTCCTCAGTTTCTTCTTCTCTGCTCTGGCCTTCCACAGCTGTTCCAGCAGCTCTGGCCTGGAGGATGATGGGATAGAAGAGGATGCTGTAACCACACGTAACACTACAGTGGTGTGGAGACATCAGAACAGCTTTATTCTCAGCAACATTTGCTCTCTTTAACACTAATAATCACTTGGCTTATAAACCAGAAATTAAAAGTTGAATTCAGAGAGAGAAGGTGATCAGTGTGAGCAGGAAGTGACCTAAACAGGAGTCACAACCTATAAGAAACACATCACAGTTGGACTCAGGAACCTGAGCTGATCAGAGGTGTGAGTCTATGTATGTTAATGCCAGGCATTATCCTGTGACACGTTAAACAGATTACACCTCAGCTGCTGAAACCTGTGTGAAAACTGTGTCACACTTCCTGCTTGTATCTGCACAGTTTGCAAAGCAGAAGGATACGTGAACATTTCCTCTCCAGGGTTTAGTAATGAACACAGCAGGCTACACTTCTCCTGTCTTTGAGATGAAGGCAGAGGCTCAGTGAACTTGCAGCTACACTGAGAGGAACAACTGTAGACCTTTACATTTGCAACAAATATGTATTCAAATTCACAATATCACCCAAATTCAGTATTTCTAAAGTGATAAACAGCTGAGCAAAATTTCAGCGTAACAACACATCAGTTTTTAGGCCCTAATGTCGCATGAATGCGTGTCTATGAATGCGTCTGCGTGTGTTTTGCTCTCACATGGATGAGGCGTTCGAGCTGGACAGACGCAGGTCGAGCGCCAGCCTCCCCGATCCCTCCTCCATCTTTTCTCTCATTGAACAGTCGCTCTGTCGGTCAGACTGGTTCTGGCTGCTCACGGGCCCGTCGCTCGAGGTCATTGGGTCGATGGCCATGATAACTTCGGGGCTCTGCATCTCACCACCGCTGCTCTCTCCCTCTTCCTCCTCCTCCTCCTCTTCTTCTTCCTCCTCATCCCTCTCCTCTTCTCCTCCACTTTTCTGCTCTTGCTCCTCCTCCTCCTCTTCCTCTTTAATTTCCTCCCAAAAGTGAGAAGTTTCACCCTCAATGATTGGCTGCAGGGTTTTACTCCGCCTCTTACTAGATGGAGATACCTAGAGGAGGGAAAGGAAGGTAGATGCAGTTGATCCGTTGTCTGCTCCATGAGTGCTGCTAACTTTGTGTCTCTGGTGGAGATTGTGAACTTACTGCAACAGGTGTAATGCTGACTCTGGTGAGCATCTGTTTGACCAGCCTGTAGCGGTCGTACAGAGGTTTCACTACCAGCCGCTCCTCTCTGGTCACCTAGAAGGACAGGAGAAGCGACAGACCTGGTTAGAACGGGTTTCTTTTTTGCTTTTTAAGGCAAAGACAAATCTTTGCAGAATTTAGGTTTTTGAACGTACCGGTCGACCGTGCAGCCCTTCGTAGTGCAGCAGATTCTTCTGCAGGACAGTCTTCTCACAGGTTAATTGCTCTTTTGTCATCTTCTACAGAGATGCACATATTTAACACTCAACAGTGTCTTTCCTGGTTTTAACATTACTAGTCATTAAATGTGAGGAAGGGGGAAAAAAGATCGACTAGTTTAAAACACAGAGACGCAGAAATAATGTACGTGTAGTTAAAAACATAAGAATTTTTTGCTGAGGGCCTCACAATCAGAGCACAGGCCAGCGTCCACATGCCCGAGCACAATGTGCTTGCACATCACCGAGCTGAGGTGAGCGCTTGTGGGTCAGTTTATTCTGAAACAGCTTTCATACATTTGCTAATTTTCTGCATCAAAGTGCTGCAGAATCTTGCGTCGTCACTGCTTACTTTCCATCTTGCTTGTTTACTTGCTTGTAACTTCCTGTCGCAGTGCAGAGCCCTGTTAGTGGCTGATGGCCTTGCAACACCTCTGAACCAGCAGGTAACTGCCATTGTATGTTAATAAAACAAAAGTAATACATTTAACTAACTAGTATTTAAACTGGTGATGGGAGAAGTTCACAATCAAACTACTTAAATTACCCTTAAAGTTATAGTCAAACAATATACCAGCAGTCTGTAAGTTGTAGTCTATAAATGTTGTGCATGTCCATCAAAAAGATTTCTTCTCTTCCTGTAAAACTTAAAAGCATGAATTGAAATGTAAAAATAACGTTTTTGTCAATAAAACTGGACGTGTTTAGTTCTGCTAGGTATGTAAACCTACACCAGACCTTTTCTAAAGGATTTCATAAACCCCAAAAAACTCTTTGGTTATATTCTGTTCTTTTTCCCCATCTTGACAACTATATATCTGATCCACATCCTTTTTATTTGTCCTGTTGCTGGAGCCCTGAATAAGTGCAGTGGCTCTGCTGGAAAATATCTGGTCCTTACCTTGATATCATCCGGCCAGCCGTCCTCCTCCCTCTTGTCTTTGACTCTGCATTGGATCAGCTCCAGTGTTTCCTCCCTTGTAGGCCGCGGGCCTTTGAGCTCCCCTGCTGCGTCATGAGCACTGTGATCCAGTGTGGATCCAAAGCTCTTGGGCAAGGTGTTGCTGCGGGGCCGAGTCTGAGGGCCGAGCTCGGTCTCTGCACGGTGTTTGGCATCTGGGGAAGGATGAACACATGAGGTTGAGGAGAGAGGAAAGAAATAAGGGCAGGGATAGAGAGAGAGGGAGAGACGTAGAAAACAGAGAAAGTCAGTTAAGGCATGCAGGATTTATCCCTCACGATTACAATTAACCCATCAGAAATAAGGAGAAAGAAGACAGTGTGACAACACACAAACACACCACCACACAACATACAAAGCCAAAGACAGAGAGCAAACTTTTTCCAGACTATTTTTTGTAACACTGCCAGACAGTAAAATCACTAAATTCAAAAGCCCCGATGGCTGTAAAGGTGAAACACTTCTGCACCTTCAGCACCGTAGCATTCTTGTTTAAAGAACTGATACCAGCAGTTAGACATGTTTTTTTGCAGTTTGCCAACATTTTTAACATGTCAGAGACCCAAAATGTCTGGCAAAAAAGAGAGCTTGTTTTGTATTTTGAAATCAGAACCATAAATGTGTAATTTCATCATGATGCTTCACACTTCTCACCACCTCTCCATTAATTATCCCATGCCAACAAGCTGTTTCAGCAGACACCGAAACAAGGAAGCAAGATGCTCTCACAAAGCCGCCTCGCTGTGACTGTCAGTAGTGTTTGAGATGTCTACTTACTGAGGGGTTTGTACTTACTGAGGTGAAACGGTCTAGAGCTGAGTAGGCCTGAGTAGGGGTGGAGCGGGGGGGTGAGTATGTGATGGGGAGGTGAGCAGATAGAGGAGGAGGAGGAGGAGGAAGGGGAGGAGGGAGCATGGTGGCATCTGTGTGAATGGATCAAAGCCTGGTGCCTCAACGTGCTTCTGGGCAAAAGGTGGTGCTGGCGTCCTGGTTGGCCGATCAGTCAATCAATCAATCAATGGGTCGTTGGGCAGTAGGAGGAAGGAGGAAAGTGAAGAGCGGATTCTCACATTATTGATTTCAGTTTTGATTTGAAACAGTGACAAATGTTTTGGCCGCTGCGTTACTCCATAAAGGAGAGCCGGCACCTCACAGGAAGGAGGTGGACGGGCGTCCTGCAGGGTTCGTTCAGTGCGGTGAAACAACGGGAGGAGAAACATCCGCCGGCAGAAAAGAATTTCTATACATTTTATATTTTAACATCTGATTTTGCACATGCTGACTGGCAGCCAAACCAAAAGCTTCTGCAACCACAGTTTGGGATTTCTGACCAAATATTTTCAAATACTTCCTTTGTGTGTTTTCCGCTGCTTCACCTGACTGAACTCACCCTGCAGGTAATGAATGTGGGTTCACAAGGACGCACCAGCACACTGTAGGGTGGGAGCCACGCATGTGAGAGCCACGTTGACCCTGAGCACGTGCATGTCTGCGTATGTCTGTCAGACCAGCATACATGCCATGTTGTCACAAAAGGTCAAAGGTTGAAAGTGGGGTCAAAATGTCCAGCACAGAACAGGATGGCATACAGACACTCTAACCCCGTCAAGCACACATGAATGCATGCCGACAGCAAAACGTAGTTGTACCTTTAATCTGCCTGCGGATCTTGGTCAAGTCAGTCATCCATTTGAGGACCTTGGGGTTAGCTGCCTTATCTGCATGAGAAGGCTGCAGAGAGAAGAGGGGGGACACACAGAGACCAAGAGTTGGCATTTCACCGAAAACATCAACAACAGCTAAGACACAAATACAAAATTACATTTTCAGAATGTGTGACAGTGTAAGCAATTAAACAATGTGTTGGTGTTTCTGATGCAGAGGAAGATGACTGTTTGCTATAACAGCCTGAAGAAAGCAAGAACTGACTGGCTCCTGCAGTTTTTTCTTCTTCTTTTTTTTAAATTACTACCTAAAAAACCATTAAAGTTCTGATTTTACCTTGTAGTTTCTCTCCTTCTCAAACTGCTCTTCGAACTGTTTGATTTTCTTCTTCAGATGCTGAAGCTTTTTGGTGAGCTGGTGCATCACCGAATCTCCTCCTCTCATCGCCTCTTTGGAACCAAACGATGCTCGCCTGGGCCTGAGGATAAATAGTAGACTGGTACTTGATGGCTCTTTTTGACTCCAGCTCAGCCCTTAAAGGGCTTTTTACTACAAGCCACTTTCACACACACTCTAGCCCCTGAGCCACAGCGACCCCCCCAGCATGACAGAACTGCCAAAAAAGAAAAACAACCCAAAAAAACCCTTCGGGTCTCAGACCAAAGATAACGATTTGTGGGTGTCATTATAACCATTAAACCCTCCCAAAAACACCAGTCTTACAGTGAATAAGCTACACATCATACCTATGTACTTTGGTGGGTGAGGTGGCGTCCAGATCCTGCTGGAGGAATCTCTGGGCACCGTGCACACCAAAATCAAGAAAGCGCCGTGCCAGCAGGTGAGGGTGGGAGCGGGAAGAGGAAGGGGAGTCATCCTGCCCTCCCTCTCCCTGTTCCTCTTCACCACCCTCCTCCAGGGGGAGCGGAGGGAGAGGAACCATGCGACCGGCCAGCGGGGAGAGCTGTGCCTCTCCGCTCTCGTTGTCATCCTGCCAGGATTTAAAAGCTGGGACGGGGTCTGGAGAAGACGGAAAGAAATAAAGAGAGGAATCAAGCCAAGTAAAAAGAAGGAAGGGAGAGGCCAGACGATTAATCCCTCTCTAGTGCATGAGAGAGAGAGAGAGGTGTTATACATATCATGATGGACAGATATGTACAGCAACATTTTATTTTGTTTACTTCCATACCTGCTGACTCACGCTAAGCCTGATTACCGGTGTATTTACAGTCAGTGCTATGCTGCCAAGTTGAATCGAGGAGGAAGAGAGAGTGTAGGAGGGGTCGTGACCAATAAGAGCAGCAGAATCAAAGTGTAAATTAAAAAAGTAAGAGGGAAGAGTGAAGAAAGAAAAAACAAGTTCGCCTGCTATCTCATGAAATCTGATGGAGGGAAGAATGTTACAGGGAGGGATTTATCACGATCAGCGTCACCACGCGCACATTTGAAAAGCCGAGGCTATTTTAATTATATTTTAATATAGTTTCTTTTATTGTTGTCACCCGTGACCACCATTAAAAACAATAACAAGGACGAGTGAAAGGAGGGAGGGGTAGACTGGTGAATGGGCGCTTATGAAATGACTTACCTTGGCCTTCCTTTTGCAGATGCATCAATGAGAAGTCGATGGGAGGGAGGTGGAGATGGGAGGGGGGTGACGCTGTTTGGATGGACGGAGGAGAAGTAGAAGGACGAGGAGGAAGAGGGACAGGGAGAGAGATAGCACAGAAGAGGAGCAGTGAGGTCATTCATAACTTCACTCACCAGCATTCATCCAATGTGTGTTGTGTTTAATTGCAAACAAATGCCACCAACGTCAGTTTTTCATCACTTATATGAGAGAATTTATCCAACTGAGCAGGTTTGAATTGAGATCTCAGCGACATATTTAAGCTTAGAGTAAAAATATTCCATAATTTTTATATTTAAGTAAGAGTAATTCATACAACAATCTAAATGAAATTAACTTTTCCCATTATGTCACTTTTATTAGATAAAATAAATTAATTTAAAGTTTTAAAAGTCTGTCCCTCTGCATAACTTCTCCAATGCCACTTTAATTTTCTGTGAATATTTATGCTGCACTGAGCAAGCTGGAATTCCCAGGATATGATGGAACTCACCTTCCCATTGGTTGTTGGGAAAAAGCTGGAGGTGGGAGGAGTCTGGTTGGCATGGTGACAGGTGGTTCCTGTTGGGCTGGCTGGTGTTGGCGTTGTGATCACAGCAACATGAACTGGAGTCCTGGAGGAGTAAAAAAAAAAAAATCAATAAGAGATAAAAGAAATAAGGAAAATGGACCAAATAACTGAAGGTAAATTTGCAAGTGTTTGAAGGAATGTTGGCCTAAGGTGTTTTTCAGACCAGCACCTTTGTAACCGATTTCACCTAGCAACTTCCAGCAACCACTTGCCAACAAATCAGGGAATAAACATTTTCCCCCAGCATCTGCTGGTTTCCATGGGGTCACTGACTGCTCTGTAGGCCCGTGTAATTAAGGTCTTAACAGATACTTAAAAGCTTTACTGTGAAGGTCCAAGCCAGTGGATGACATAACCATGGCTGTAGCCATTGTTTATATACAGTCTATGAAAGGTGTACATTTCCACATCCTGTCACTTACACAGCTTATGGTGACAGTGTGCTCCATCGTCACAAGAGGCTGATTGTCCTGCCTGAAAATGAAGATTAGAATTAAATAAAATTAGATAAACACTCAAAATTAAACCATAAAGGAGATAAACACATTAACACTCCACCAGGGGATGTATGTTTTCAGTACTCTTTGGTCCAATAACAAGAAGTACTAATATGGTACCCCTGTACAGACTCATCTGGATAAGTGTACTTTTATAAAAGCTGTCCAATCATATCACTCTCACCATATTTAGTCTTCCTGAAACCTTGCCTGGATAACAGCTGACGAAGAGTCACACCACAGTCACACAACAAAGAAATCTTTCCGCTGCACGAATAATTCGACGAGGAAAAAAACTCACAAAGCTGTAACCAAAATCAGTGCTTTGTGTAGTCAGTATTTTGCCTGTTTTAAATAAATAGGTGTGAAACAGCATTTGTCAGTTTTAACACTGCATGCCACATTGATGGCGGTGTACTCACTACAGCTGTTAACAACAAGCTGGGGGTGTAATATCATCATATGACATGTAAAGATACACAAGCAGGAAGCAAAAGTGAATAAGTGTTGGGAGTGAGAGAGACTGAGATAAAGATGCGTTTCAGATGCAGCATAAAATGTGAGCTCTGGTTGAAACAGCGTGTCAAAGCAATTTGCAGAAGGCAAGTGTCTGATCAGCACGGCAACACTGCTGCCTCTCGTTTGCTTTGCATCGAAACTAAACTCTGAGGGTAAATCCAGGCAGCTGGTGTTTGTGAAGTAAACAGCTCACCTGGCAGTGTTTAAGTTGTTCTTTGCATCGGTGACAGACTCTGCATCCAGGTCCATTCCTGAGCCCTCCTCCAGGGTGGGCACAGAGTCCAGTGAATTCTGGAGGAAAAAAGACAGGACAGCAAGATGTTCTGTTTAACTTAAACAGGAATAAGCAGAGCAAGAGACAGCAATGGGCAAGAACACAAACTGAGCTACACACTGGAGTCTAACAGAAATAAGTAAAACACTGTAATGCTTCACTTCCTCAGTTAATGAGACAACACAGAGATGTAGCACTGCAACAGATCAAATGTTCACAAAATACCCAGAATACAGTGAGGTAATCATAAATGCATTAAATAAAGCTCTTTCACCTTAAATAGTTAAGAATTTAATGCTCCTTAAAAATTAGAGGTTAAAAATGCCTCTGCTCATCTTCAACAACTCTGTAAACCTTGAAAAAGTTACTGGACTTCTTGAAGTTTGTGAGGCTTTTCAGTCCTGAAAACAAAAGGTGGAGAGTCCCACGTATTTAACATGGGGGTTGTTCTCTTTGGAGGTGGTTTGGAGAGTCGTTGACCCAGTATTAATCACGTCATGTGCATTATCACGAGCCAAGGTGGGAAAAAAGGTGTGGCTTAATACCATCAGGGAAGTTAAGGGTGAAACTACTGTGAAACCTTGCCCCACCCTATCATGTGACCTACTGACTCACATCTGAGGTAAGTTGTGAGTGAGATTTGAAAAACCTGGGAAGGGTTCTCAAACCTCTATTGTAGGCAGGTTGGCTTTTGGCTCAGCTAAATACGTTTTTTAGGGTTTTCCCACTAGCTGGTAATAACAGGTACCACTTCTTTAGTACCTACTCAGCTTCCGAGCAGTCTGAGGCGAAAACGTGACATTAACAGACCGCATGCCACCGATTGGCTAGTCAGTGGCATCACTCGATGAGTCATGAGAGTGACATGTATTTTTGTGTCAGATACAGAAGATGTCACAGGACGTTGCTATAGCAACCTCGTGCACATAAGTTGGTAATCAACTGTAATGGAAAATGACTGAAACCAAGTAGAGTCAAGTCAAGCTGAGTAGGCGCTACAGGAAAAGGGCGAAAAAGCTACCACTTCTGTTCATAGATCTTTTTCATTTACTCCTCTTTCAAGCCATCTGTCTTTTCAGTCCAGAATGTGAACATTGGCATCGTTGAAAGAGAGTTTGGGAGTTTTGGATGAGAATGAAATGTCTTCACAAGCTTAAAGACGTCCAGATGCCTTCTGTTTCCCCCCTCAAGTTCCTAAGACTAGCATCACCTGAATGACTGAGAACCTATACAGACGACTCTGTAGGAACACAAAAGTCCTCATCATAAATGAGAAGACATTTCACAGTGTGTATGTTATGTGGACATACACATATTGAACTCATTGTTAATAGCACATGGCACAACTATACAACTTTTTAAACATAAAACCAGTGTAAATACATGCATGTCTGTGATGATGTAGTACAGTGGAGCAGCTGTCATTCTTTGGCTCTTGGCTGATCTATTTAAGGACTTGGATCAAGATTATTGTTTCTGTGACAGCTTCTCCTCCAGCCGTGGGTCTCATCTCCCTGCCTACCATGTTGTCTCCTCCTCACCCCTCCATCTGGAAGCTAACATGGTTCTTGGGATAAAAGCCAGTAAGGCTGAATGGGGGGCACTAGTAACAGGGTTTTGATTTCCAATGAGACAGCTTCAATAAAAATGTATGTGATGTGCACAGGAATACAAAGAATATGTGCCGTGTATGTCTTCCTCAAACTAGATATTGAAAATAAAGAGAAACATTACTACTCTTCAGAATGTGTTAAACAGATAATGCATCTCAAAGCATCATCATCTGGATAATAATTTTATCAGTTCGTATCTATTCTTACCCAAATGTGAAGAAAGCAAGATCAAGAATTTCCAAAGCCCTTGAAAGTAGCTCCTTGTTTTTTAATATAGCATCCTGGCATATGATAGGTATAAAAAGTGGCAAATGCGTTCACCAAACCTTGAGAAAGAAGCTACTCAGCACTTTTTCCAAGTACAAAATGACCTTATTAACATTTAGTTATGACTAAATGTGTCTGCGTGTTTGCATTTGTTAAACAACCCTCTTGTTTCTCGCTTTCCCAGTAAATTTCCAGCTATTGTAGCGATCAGAGCAGAACAAAGATGGGCCTGTGCTGATAATATCAAACACATTTCGCCTTGGAATGAAGCGACACACTGAGATGGGAAGGAGGTTAGCTATGGGAAGCATGCTCTGAGCCCACACAGCAGCTTGCTACGAATTTCTTTTGTGTCTTATCATCTGATGTCACTTTCTGTTTGAACACAGGGGAGCTGCTGTTCTGCCAATGTTACAGTAACAGGCAGCGCGCGCAACTAAAACAAAGATTCCCTTTCTGGTTATCACGTCATGACGTCCCCCCACTGACCTGCGCTTCTCGCTGATTTTGTTGGATGTGCTGCTCAGGCTGTGTGAGCGGGGTACCCCCTTCTGTGTCGCAGGCACTGTCTTCAGGGTCAGTTTGTTGCTCCTCGTCTCCATCACAGCCCTGGTCTGCAGGCTCACTGGGACTCTCCCTAACATATCACAATGGAAAGATTAATAAAGCAATGAAAGTACCCTTATTATTTAAATATAAATTCATAACTTGTATCCAGGGGAATGCTATGCAAAGTAGCATAATGCTAAAGTAACCTCTAAACGTGTTTATCTGTAACGTGAACCATCTGGCTGGCTTTGTGCCTTTGTGCATGAGATTTGCTATCTTGGAAATGCTTCTTTAGAGTCATCTGATGCCACTTTAAAACACTGAGCAATCATGTTTGTACCAACAGGTGCAACTACAAAGTGCAACAGACATTTAATTCATGCGTGCATAGAAACTTTGTGGTTTGCACTCTCACCCCTGGCTGTCGTAGCTGCTGAGGTCTTGGTCGATGGAGTTTTTCAGATCAAAGAAGTGCTGCTCCACTGCAGCCCTGATGGTCCGCTGAATAATACTGGGAAACAAAGCAAAAATACAAGTTAAAATGATGTTTAACACTAACCACTGTCCAAAGAGTTCAGACTACCTTTAAAGAGGATAAGCAGAGTTTCCAAGGTTTACATAACTAATTTGCATGAGATCCAGTGACCATGTTTTTTTCCTGTTCATTCAGTGCAACAACTCCACAGAAAAACAGAAATAGATAACCTGAAAATAACATTATCCACCTGAAGTATCCACATAAAGCGAGCCACAGCAATAATCCAAACACCCAAGATGCTGGGCATGTTTCTCTGACTTCTATCGAGTAGAGAAAAAGTCTGTGACGTCAACAACTGTTTTGATAACCAAAACGAAAATACTTCAGCCATGTTGCAAATAGTCAAAGCTGGAGACCGATAAGTTCCACCTGCCAGAATCATGCGCACTATTTAGGCTTGTGTATGTATTTATTTCTGAACTGCAGTAGGACACGATGTATCAAAAACCTAAAAAGATAAAAACTGATTTGCAGAGTAACAACTACCCAACACTACAGCACTACCATCACTATTTTTTTAATCCTTCAGTTAAACATGTCTTTTTTTTTTAGTGATTAGTATACATGCTTTAAAAACGCTCACATAATGCCTAAAACTGTTGCCATCAACATGACATCCTTAGTTCAGTTATACTGACGAGGTTAGAGGGCTGTTTTTCCAGATTTAATTAAGATGTTTGTTTTTAGCACTACCTCTGTGTCTGGAACCTCTGCTGATCAATTAACAGATAAATGGCATTTATATGTTCATCTTTATATAGTAATTAGGTACATATAAGAGACATTTATTGAAGTTTAAGAGTGAATAATACTCATCATTTTCACTCAGTGCTTTCTTTCCCCTTCTGAGCTATTTAACAAGTCCTTATTAAGCCAATGGTGCGGCCCTGGTCTAAAAGGATTAATATGGAGTCAGGGAGAAGAAAAGAGGGGATGTTAGAGCCTATAAAAGGTAACATCGGCAGTCACACGCTGACCTTTTCTGCACCGACATGCAACGCCTGATCCACCGGCTCTACTGAGATTCCATCTATCTGGCTTCAATTACTGGACCATGTTTGTTTGATCATAATGTATTCCTCCCTCATTTACTCTGGCTTCATGCAGTCTGTGAGTTTTGTCACTGTTCCAGCTTAGACGGCGGCAGAGCCTAAGTTGAATGGGAAAAGACCCAACTCCCCCATACCAACTGTTCACTCACTTCATCTGCTTTCATCACGTGTTATTCCAACTTTTCCTCTATTTTTCTATCATATAACTTCTACTCCTTAAGCTGATCCTCAAAGTAAATGTCCAGACAGTGACACCAAGTTGTCGCAGGTACTGTAGATACGCATGAATTTAACACATCGAGTACCTGATGCTGGAAAAATAGCTGTAGGGGATTTTCTGCTATGTCCATTTAAGGCAGAAACTCATAAAGCTACTGAGCTGAGATAAATGAAATGTAGGTGTCAATATATGAACACATACACTCAAACTTCGCCTCCACCTCCAGGAAGCTCTACAATAATAACTACACTGCACATCACACACAAACAGCCACTTCCAGAAATAAACACATAAGCAGTAAAAGATGATGCACTTGCACTCTTTCCTACTTACATAGACACAGAAAGAAGCACTTACACTCACACAGCGTCCAAATTTTTACCTCCCAACAGGGAAACTCGGTGGGACCTGCAGGGTCCCTCTTTTTAAATTTAAGGGAAACTTTTTTTATTGGCATGTGCGTTATGAAAATAGATTAAACTGCTTTTTTAAAATCTGCACAGCAAAAAACTGTCTCCCCATCTCCATCATCATGTGTTTCTTCTTCTTTTAAAACCATCTTTACTATTTTCTGTCAAATTGGTGGGCAGCTGAACATGTGACAATTTAAACTCCTTTGACTGCTGGTAGTGAATTCCAGCTTTTATGTTTAATTCCTCATTGTTTAAGTCTAATAAGTAAACCCACATTAAAGCGCTGTACAAAGAGAAATAATTGTATTCTGCGTCCATGCTGAGCAGCGTCGAAGAGACGGCCTGACTGTCATGTGATTGCAGTTCGTGTCCTTGAGACCGTCAAAGTGCCACGCCATGCAAAATGCTTTACTTTAGCTTCCTAATCAAAACACAAGGCCGGCTCTCCTCCTTCCTGCTCGTCTCTTCCTCTAAACCTTGTACAGTTTTTAAAACTCACTTGTCTCAGCAGCGGCTGCACATCAATCTCGATTTCTATTATTTTATTCGCCTCTTGAGAAAACGCTATTTGACTGCCTCATCACGCTTAACATATAATATGGCTCTGTCTTTCTCTTATTGATTATTTGCAGTTTCATTAATATTATATTCTAACATGAAATGCCTCTGCAGGATATAATATTAAGAATTATTGAGTACATATTTTATTACAGCTTATGATGTTTATGATAAGTTGTTGTGATGTAATGCGTATGTGAGCGTGAGTTTATGTCTAAGTATGCCATTGTGAGTGTGTGTGTGAAAATGTGGAGACTTACTCAGCAGAGTCAGCAGGCAGGATGGATATAGGGGAGAGGTGGGAGCTGTAGAGCCAGAGAGAGGAAAAGCACAACAAGGTTAGAACATCACGCACTCCTCGACTCCTGTCCCGCACTGACCTTGGAGGAGGCGGGTGTCGAGCCGCAAGAGTCAAAACAGGGAAGAAGAATGTTAGCAATGCTGTTAACAAAGAGTATGTCTGTGTATTCTATACGTGCATTAGTGAGACAGAGCAGGGATCGAGCACTGAGGTAGTAGAGGTGAAATCAATGAAAAACATGTAAAAATTAGCACAGTGATGTCTGAGATGCCCTGAAATGACAATTTCAGCAAATGTATCACACGCACAGTTTTAGTCAGTGGCGCCACTCTGAGTGGGCAGATTGTTATTTAGGCTACAGAGCTCTGCTTGACCCTGCTGATCAGATAGACAGTTGTGTATGTAATGTCATACTTGTTCTTCCATAAGCAGGGAAGTGTGTGCGTGTGCATGTGTACACGGCATGAAACAAGAAGTTGGCTGTGATGTGTCCCATCACTTGATTCACAAACACACCCACTGACAGGCACGCCAGGATTTATATAACACTCCCACCCACACCCACCCACACACCCACCCACCCACACACCCACACCTACCTAAGACGTGTCGGTGCTCTTGGACTTAATGCGAACGACCTTCTGCTGTGTGTGTGTGTGTGTGTGTGTGTGTGTGTGTGTGTGTGTGTGTGTGTGTGTGTGTGCGCGTGTGTGAGTGAGTGAGTGAGTGAGTGAGTGAGTGAGTGTGTGTGTCAGTCAAGGGGGCAAACTCGACTCATTAGAAAAACAACAGCTGACGTTATGCAAGACTTTCATGTGTATGTGTGTTCTGGGTCTGTCTCACACACACACACACACACATGCACTTTTAACGCTACAAGAAGTGCTCAGGTTGATCGATAATGACTGAATTATTAATGGCAGATAGGAAACCATAATGCCCTCTCTTTATTCTTCTCCTTCTTGCTACTTTCCCTCTCTTTTCTTTCTCTGGGGTGTTTGTCTTCCATTAGCTATGTTTTAAATCAAATCTGCTTCTGTTTATCACTCTATTTTTTCTTTTCATTCATGCTCACTCAGCCCCAAAAAGCCTTTTTAGTTTCATTACTGCATTTCTTGAGCTCTCCTTTCTCTTCCGCTTTGCTTCTTTTTTTTCCATCTCACTGACTATGAAGGCAGCAAACATCCGACATTCCCTTCCTGAGAATGTAGCCTTGATCATGAGTGAGTGTGAAGGCAGGACAGACAAAAAGGAAGGCGCTCGTATTGCAGAGACCTAACAATGAGTCAACCAGAACACACACGCACACGCACGCGCACACACACACACTCACACACACACAGCTTTGCTTCAAGTAGTTGGATTAGAGCAGCTCCTAAAGCCTCGACGGCAGACACACATAAGCCCTTAATAACATTTTAAGGAACCACACCTTTTACAGCTATTTGTTGGCATTAATGCTCTAAACCCTTTGTTAGTGACCAAAGTATAAATAGTTCAACTTACATTTAGTCTCTACATATATGATGACCACTAAACTTTGTATTATTCAAACAGATTATGACTGATTTTTTTGATTTTACTAACTGCATTATTATCTACGTCTTAAAGGTACAGAGACGAGCGCGTCAGAGTAAAAGGGATGCTTGCCAGAATCACTCAGATCGCATCAGGTTAATCTGCTGCCTCCTCCCTGGATCCCTCTGCTAGAAACATCTCTCCTGCAGCAGGGTCAGTGGACACAGTCCAACTTACACACCACCATAATTAGCACTCTTGTGTAAACTTTGTAGTCTTGGATATAGTAATTATCACAACTCAGCTCTTAACTTGATATAAATCAATATCAATAAATCAATATAAATATAAAACTATCATGTACGTTTGGCCGTTTTTCTCCAGTTGTATTACATGGGTTTCCATTTGTGAAGAGCAATATTTATACATTCATAACATATTTACTGCTGATTTACCACCAAAGGATTATCTCAGTCAGCACTGCCACGGTCTAAACACGACTGTTATTTCCATCTGTGTTGAAAGCTATCCTTCCATTTGCTGCTGTGCGTGCTGCTGAGGTAATTCAATCATTATTCAACAAAGCTGTTTTAAAAAATATCTCCTATTGGCTTTCAGTAATGGAGAAAAACTTGTACGATTTAATATTATCTCGCAATCACACATTTTATACTTGCAGCACGGGACGTGACCTTCAGGTATTAGGAGATAAAATCATTGAGAAATGTGGATGAAATGTGCAGTATTTACTCGACTCTATTTTGAGTTTGTGCAATTATCTGAAATCTAAAACATTACAGTACCCTGTGTGTATCACAAATTTAGGACACCAGTATCAGTTTTGCACAGATAAGAGCATGAACTGCAGAGGTGAACCACTGTGCTGTGTATTAGCGCCATCAAGTCAGCTGACTGGTGACTAAACAGCTAAAAGATTGTGGGTTACTGCAAAGTAGAGCAGAGGGACTTTGTATTATCAGTGATGACACTAAAGAATAAAATAACTAATCAATTACCCACTTTTGTTATTTTCAATGGTTCTTCTGATGCAAAGGCAAGAATATACGAGTGTGTGCGCGCGTAAGGTAAGTTAGAGGTGAGATATGATTTTAAAGATGTGCTGTTGTCAGCAAACCTGACTCGGCTCTGCTCTGGCTGGGAGGTAATAGTGACTGCAGCAGCCCCCGCACACACACACACACACATACATATATATTTATATATATATAAACCAGCATGTTCAACAAAACATAGCTCACTGCTTAAGCTCGTTACCCACTTCGGACATAAATACACCTTGCCTGCATAAGCCTTTCCTTCCTTAGCACAACCTGAAACACACACTCACTTGCCCACTCTTCTTCATAAGCATCATCTTACATCTCATAAACAGCTCTCCTGGCTGCGTCTGAAACTGTAAACATTTATAGTCCTTCGTGGAAGCGCCAAAAATCCGTCACAGATGTTTGTATTCAGATCGCAACCTAAACACAGACCAGGTCAAAGATGTAACATCTGTTTGTTTCACTGCCTCCATGATGCTCATTTGTTTGCTTCCATCATTTGCTTTGCGCAGCTCAGATTCATTCGTTTTCTCTTAATTGTCCCGCAGCAGTTTGGCCATCAGAGAATACCGATTTGATTTTGGTTAAGTTGGCCCAACAAATCCTCCTCATTCCACCATTCACCAGTCACGAGGAACTGATGCAACATTGTTAGGAGCTTGCACATTTACAGATACCCTCACCGTTTTGATTATTTTACATCTAACTATGCATTATATTTTTTTTTACATATTGATGGTTTAATTCACATTCTTTTCCATGTCAGAAAAAGCCAAAAATGAATCAATGATTATTTTCTTGCTAAATAGATTTGCTTGTAAAATGTGAGGTAACAGCATTAAAAAGAAAAAGCTCAAGGTCACATCTTCTAATTGCTAATCATTAGCTGAACGGCATCAAAATCCTTACATCTGAGCAGAAGGAAACAGGGGTTTGGCATTTGGCACATCAGGACTTGTTTTACTTTAATCAGTTAGCAAAATTTCTGTCGATAAACTTCCACACGCCTAATTACTCCCTACTAACTTGCCTTTTCTTTCCTTCTATGGTGCAAAAAGTGCTGACACACTGTCATCATGCACTCTTGAGTCATTTATATTGAGATTACATAACTTAAAAAAATCTGCTGTCAAGTATATACTTCCTCTGGACTCCTATACAGCTCCTCTTTCTTCTCTCTGGTAAATAAAGACTGAGCAACAAGCACAAACTATCTTCCTTCCCCTCCAGTTTTCCATGTACAATGATGTTTTAAATTCCTAACATTTCCACCAATTCATACCTAAATCAAAACTTCAACTATTCTTCCTGCTGCTTCTTATAGTCATTTTCCCTCAAACAATCCACAACGATCCACTTTCCCCACCTCTTCTCTTTATTCACTTCATCAATCATCCAACCACATATTTGCTTTCTCCTTCATCCATCTATTCATCCATGAAATCTTTCATTCCAGTCAGACTACAGGAGTTACATAACCCCTGATGTTTACCTCTGCAGCAGAATGTCACAGGCCATTCTCATTTTCCCAGCTGTGTTTCCTCTCACTGTGATCTACTCTTTTTGTTTAGCTTTGGGGTTTTTATGCCACTGGATCAAGCCTGTAGGCGGTTCAGTTTCTGTCAGTTTCTCTGTTGAGTATCTTCTTTCTCGTCTTTCCACTGTACTCAGCAAGCCAACCTGTAGGTTATTGAAGTCCAGTGTGAGAAGCGAGCTTGACTTTTAGCCAAACTCTGCACGATCTCTGTGTTTCTCTTCTTTTTGCCTGTTAACCAATTGACACATCTCCTGTAGCAGCAGTATCCAGCTGTTAAGCTTGTTCTTCCTGAACCCTCAGTTTTTCCTTCCTTCTTCGAGTACCTGGCAGGTCTGTAGATCAACCTTGTATTCAGAGGTTATCCCAATTGAGCACTTTGAGGTGTCAGCGTCAGTACAAGCAGGTCTAGCAACAGAGCCACGGTGTCAGCAGGGTGCATGCTGTAGCGTCCTCTAAAACGGTGTGTGTCTTGAATTTATGAACAAGTGTGGATGTGTGTGTGAGTGAGTGAGGTTGCCTCACTCTGCACTCTGTCTCCAAAAGTGCTGCAGTAAATATCCAGAGCTCTGCTCAAATATATGAGCTTCTGATGTAACCAGGCAACAACCCCAGGAGGACCAATGGGATGGGAGGGGCTGAATTTGAGACCCAATTGTAAAGAGGGAAGAGGGAGGGAAAGCTATGTGGGCCAATCTTACGGCAGAAACTGGGAAGAGGGTTGATTTTTTTTGTCCACTCAGTGCCGACTATGAACTCAGCAGTTTACAGTCAGCCCCGTGGGCTGTGTAATGGCGCGCACGCACAGACAAGATGCACACAAACTAACAGATGCCTGTGTCTTTTAAAACACGCTGTATGAGCTTTTTCCAAAAAGAAGAATTAAAA